AGGCACAAAGTGGACTAAGACAGCCACCCACCACCAGAAGCTAGGAAAAGGTAAAGAAGTACAGGAGGTCTTCAAGAAGCTCGTGGAGGATTATGCATGGATTTCAAAGTTTTTCTGCACCAAAATAAGCTCATACCAACTTGTTATAATATGTCTGAACAGGATCTAGTTTGAGGCACTAACAGGAATAAGACATCAGTTGAAAAGAGCCCCTATCAGAGCAACACGAATTCTGCTAAAATTAAAACAAGAACAAACATCAAATATATGGTGAAGTGTGTGTGGAAGAATGCTGAAGCCATCGATACTTTATGAAAAGTTTATGGGGAAAACACTCCAAAGAAATCAGCAGTTTACAAAGAGAAAACTCATTTTAAGAAGGGACAAGACAATGTTGAAGATAAAGCCTGCAGCGCTAGGCCATCCACATCAATTTGAGAGGAAAAAACTAATCTTGCTCATGGCATAATTGAAGAGGACTGACGATTAACAGCACAGTCAATATCCAACACCATAGATATATCAATTGGTTTAGCTTACACAATTCTAACACACAAAAATTTCAAGTTGAGCAAATTTTCCATTCAGGTGTTAAAACTGTTGCACCCAGATCAGCAGCAGATAAGAGCAGAGCTCTCAATGGGAATTTTAAACCAGTAGGATCAAGATTCTGAAGCATTTCTTTGAAAAACTGTAACAGGGGATGAAATATGGCTTTACTGGTATGATCCCAAAGACAAAGCACAATGAAAGCAACAGCTACCAGGAGATGGAAGTGGTCCAGGCAAAGCAAGTGGACTAGTCAAGAGCTAGGCATCCACCCTACCTAATTTGGCTGATTTGGCTCCTTTTGACTTCTTTTTATTTCATGATCTTAAAAAAATTTTTTAAAAGGCACCCATTTGTCTTCAGTTAATAATGTAAAAAAAGAGTGCATTGGCATGATTTAAATTCCCAGGACCCTCAGTCCTTTAGGGATAAACTCCATGGCTGGTATCATCACTTCCAAAACTGTCTTGAACTTGATGGAGCTTATGTTGACTATTAATAAAGTCTCTATATTTATCTTTATATTTTAATTTCATTTTTCCACAAATTTTTTGAAGTTCCCTTGTATTCTCCCCTACAGATTTTGAAGGTAGCCTGGCTCGGCTTTCACCTTGATTTTCACTTCGAATCTCCAGAACTGTGGGAAAATAAATACCTATTGTTTTAAGCCACTCAGTTTGTGGTACTTTGGTATGAAAGCCCTAGGGAACTAGTAGTAGCGTAGGTTTTCCGTATTTGACTCTCAGACTCCCTAGCAGCTAAAGCAAGGAAACAGTCTGTTACATAATCCACAAAGGGATTAAAATGTCCCATTTGTTCAGGAGATGCAGAGCTTTTCATGATGCTGAGAGACCAGAGAAAGGTCTCTTCTGGATCCTGCGGAGAAAACACTGTGGGATGCAGTGGACAACTGTAGCAGTTGATATCATGACACTAAATCTGATGAATCCTACTAAATCTATTTCTTACTAGGTGCCTCACTGAAAGAAGACAGTGTGATCCCAAGAGACAGTTTAGTAAAAACACATCTAGGAACCAGAAATGAAAGAGGGGATATTACTATCAACCTTACAGAAATAAAAAGGATCATAAGAGAACATTACAAACAAATGTACACCAACATATGCTGATGAAATGGACAAATTCCTAGAAAAATACAAACTACCAAAACTGACTCAAGAAGATATAGACAATCTGAATAGACCCATCACAAGTGAAGAGGTTGAATTAGTAATACAAAAGAAACCTATCCATAAAGAAAAGCCTGGGCCCAGGTGGCTTCACTGTTGAATTCTACCAAACATTTAAACAAAAATTAATACCAACTCTTCACAAACTCTTTCAAAAAACAGAATAGAAAAGAACACTTCTCAACTCATTGTATGAAGCCAGTAATATCCTGGTGTCAAAACCAGATAAAAACAGCAGAAGAAAAGAAAACTATAAACCAAAAGCACATCTAGGATGTATCAGAAAACTATAGTCCAAAGTACATGGCTCTATGATTTCATGTCTTTGAGGCAACTTCCATAAATATTTTTCTCAAATTGGGTTTTTGGTAAGGACTAGATAGCAGATTTCAATGATGTAATTTTTGGAGAGAATAGGGAAAGTACATATCTGCATTTCCAATGAAATGCAGGTTCATATTTTTTGCTAACTTCGAGGGCAAGGGATAGAAATAATATCCTCTTATGAAAATTAAATGTTATTTATTTATTGTTAAAGCAATAATGAAAGTTGGGGGAAGTGCCATGACCAAAACAAAAACTATGTTTTTCTTGCTGAAACTTGAACAATGGATGTGGGGCAAAGAAGAGTTATTAGCTATTTAGACATATTTTATAATTTGATTTAAAATTTAAAACTATAAGAAAGATTTCTGATTATAAGAAAAGTGAAGCATTGACTCAAACACAGAAAAAACAGGCTTCTTTTCTCTGGACTTTAAAAATAAATCAAAACCACATCTTGTTAGGGTAATAAATATATAATGCCAAGAGTCTAAATCCCACCCTTTTTCAGGCCTTGATTAAATGCTGCCATTTTCGAAACTGTGTAGCTGTTCTAAATTTATTATGGCACTTCAATGTTTCCTCCTACATCATTTTTCACTTTTTTCCTGGAGTTGCATTCGTCTTACTGGAGTATAATCTTGTTGAGGGCACAAATGGTCTCTACCCTCCTACACAGGCTTAAGATAGTGCTTTGTCCATAACCAGCACTTACTAAAAACTCAGCACTACTAAAAAAAATGTTGTGTGTCTTACTACATGGTCAGTTTTAAAGTTAAATGTATTTTTAAGACATTCAAAGCAATGAAGCCTCTTATTAAAAGAATTGCCGGATATAATAAACTTTAAAAATTTGTTCATATATTAAAACATGAATTAGAGATGGCTTTAAATTGATTCATTTATACTAGTTACTTTTTTTTTTCTTTTTATGGCTACATAATATTTGTACATATTTGTGGGGTACATGTGATATTTTGATACATGCATACAATGTGTAATGATCAAATCAGTCTATTTAGAATATCCATCACCTTGAACTTTGGAAGGCAGCTATGCTAACCACTACACCACCAATGCCATGGTCACCTTGAATTTTTATCATGTTTCTATATTGGGAACATTTCAGACAAGATTGGGCACGTTCAGGGTGGTATGGCTGCACACTATACTGGGAACATTTCAAATTGTCCCTTCTAGATATTTTGAAACATACAATATATTGTTGTTAACTACAGCCACCCTACTGTGCTATCAAACACTAAAACCTATACTTTCTAACTAACTGTATGCTTGTCCCCATTAACTAACCTCTCTCATACCTCCTACACCTTGATCCTTCCCAGCCTCTGGTAACTATGATGCTACTCTGATGGTTTTCTTTATTTGTACCACTTTTTTTTAAGCTCTCATATATGAGTTAGAACATGTGACATTTGTCTTTCTGTGCCTGGCTTACTTCACTTAATGATCTTCAGTTTCATCCTTGTTGCTGAAATGAAATGAAATTGTCATTTCATTCTTTTTCATTCAGGATTTCATTCTTTTTATGGCTGAATACTATTCTATTGTGCATATACACAATATTTTCTTAAACATCCACTGATGGACACTTAGGTTGATTCCATACCTTTGCAATGGCCAACAGTGCTGCAATAAACAGGGGGATGCACATATCCCTTTGATATACTGATTTCCTTACCTTTGGATAAATACTGAGCAGTGGGATTGCTGGATCATATGGTAGTTCTATTTTTAGCTTGAGAAGCCTCCATACTGTTTTCCATAAAGGTTATACTAATTTACATTCCCATCGACAGCATAGTCGCTACTTTTCTTTTAATCAGATGTCCACAGCTGTTAAGTGTCCTTTGGGCCAAAAGAAAAATGGTAACCTAATAGTTAACTTTCACCTTGCAAACGTATCCCTTTGAAGACACTCAATCATTTTCTTCTTCTGAAACCATTCTTGGAATGGTGGATTATATTACTATACCCACTTATTTCTTGTTCTCCTTTTAAGAGTATTATACAGCTCTGCTCATTGTCACATGATTTCCTTGAGAGAAATTCCACCCATTAATAGTAGGTTTTAGCCGATAGAATGTGAACAGAATTGAGGCATGCAGAATGTGAGTTCTAAGAGCAGCATGAGCTACCGTGTTTCCCCAAAAATAAGACCTTCCCATAAAAGAAGTGCTTGCAGGATTTCTAAGCATTTGCGCAATATAAGCCCTACCCCGAAAATAAGACCTAGTAATGGGCGTGGCTACACAGTGTATCTGCACAACCGGTGCATTTCGTTGCAGAGTGGTAAAGAAGACTAGCAGCCCTTCTCATCTGCCCCATCATGACAACTACTATCTCAGAGGTGACCAGAAAGGTGCGGGCAGCCCCACCAACAAGGTCAGCTTGCCCTGTCAGGTCCTGGCCATCCTGTGCGTGCTGCAAGCTGAGGCTTTGAGGGGAAAGTCTCCTGAGTGAAGTGAGGAGCAGGACGCTCTGCTTTAGGTATTGTGTGTCCCCACGGGGAAGAAGGAAAGCTGTGGCTGCCATTGTACTCAGCACTGTGGGCTTCTCTCAGCCCCCAAAACACCAGGGGGTAGGGGAAAAGCTTCAGCAAGCAGCCTCCTACTGAGCCTAGAGAGAGCATTTCTGCTCCACTGTGCAGACTGGACCCAGTGCTCACTGGATCTCTGATAAATAAGCCAGTCCTGCTCATTTAATGAGAGCTCTATTGCTAGACATGAGCGATTGGGGACAATGGTTCTAAAGGAAATAGAGTCGCAAGAAATTCAGGATGGAATTCGGCGTTTGGAGAGTTATGATGATGTTCCAGAAGACGACGACTTAACTATATTTGAATAAATGTAGATTGTTGTACCGTACTTAAAAAAAAATAACATATCCCCTGAAAATAAGCCCTAGTGTGTCTTCTTGAGGAAAAATAAACATAAGACCCTGTCTTATTTTCAGGGAAACACATTAGCTGTGGCACAAGACCTGACTGCTACATTTCCAGGAACTTGGCAAGCCACCTGTTAAGCGTTTGTAGCTTGAAAGCGGCAGTGGTGGGAGTATTTACACCACAGAAACAGCAAACACTACAAATGAGGACTTGCCCCTCCTCCCTCAAAGTTGGTTTACCAGCACACCAGTGAGCCTGTCCCAGAAAAGGTGATCTTTCCGTCTAGAGCCTGGAATAATGAAAGCTGGAGGAATAGTGCCAAAGCTACCTGCAGCTGACGTAATTGGCTCGAGAAACGGACCTTTGTTATTGCAAACCGCTGAGACGTTGAAGTTGTTTGTTACCTGGGCATCATCTAGCCAAACCTGATACGCCACGCTGGTGACACCAGCGAGCGCTCCCTTTATCTGTCCAGACCTTGGCTGCGGGGATTTCTTCTAGCTTGTGACGTCACACGCCTGGAGCCCGAAAGGATCCACACCGCGCTCAGAGACTCCGGACGGGGAATCCAGGTCTTGGAAGGGTAACGCAAGCTTAGGGAACAATAGTTACATTTTAAACAACACTAAACTGGTGCGTCATTGGAAACCCCTGCTAAACACAAGCCTGTCACTCGCGGACCTGGACGGTTTAAGAGCGACTGCCCCACCGCTTTCGCGTGAAGGCCACAAGCGTCGGTCCCCCTTTGCACCCCCGGATGCGTGAATTGAGCGCTGTGTCTTTAAGGGGGACGCGCGGAGGTTTCCCTCCGGGACAAAATGGAGCCGGGAGGGGCGGCCGCGATCCCGGGTTCCCGGCCCGCCGCGGCCCCAGCTGCGCTCGGCGGGGCCTGGGTGAGTGCGGGCCGCGACTCTCGCGCGGCCGGGACCGTGGGACCGCAGGTAAGCCGGAGACCGCCAGCGGGCTGCTCGCGGGTGCGTGTGCGCCGGGCGCGGGGCGTGCCCCTCGCGGCGGTCGCGATTACGTTAATAAAAGGGGCGCCTGGACCCGCTTCTGCGCCAAGGCCCTGCCTACGCGCTCTCAGCACCTCGTTTTTGCGCCCTCCCTCCAACCTCCCTTCAACAAGTTCCTCGGGGTGTCGGAAACCGTCGCCGCTCGCCTGCTCTCCCTTTGTTAAAGTTGCCTCCTTGCAGTCCGACTTTTAACCGTGCAGCTGCTGGGCGTCCCGTAGTGGGCTCTTTCTCTAATCGGGGATTTCTTAATGCTTCCCGTTTGCGGGGAAGAAACCGAATGCTAGTCAGAGGTGCAAACCAGATTCCTCACCTCACCCCACCCCTCAGGGTACTCGAACAAAAGAATGTTCTGGTCCCTTTGGAGCACACTGGCGCAGCTTGCTGTAATTTCTCACACTGACCCAATGCCCGAAGGTCACCAAGCGAAGTTATTTTGTTCTCCTTGAAAGCAAAAAATAAGTACTTGCCACTGGTTGGACTTCTAATTAGCCAACACTACAAAGATAAGGTGTTTAATAGGAACTGTTGTAGAAAAGCTTAATACATTGACATAATTAGGGTAATTATTTCCTGCTCTTATTATGAATTATTATTACACGTTTTTGGGGCCAAGAATAGCTTGAGGCAACCGACAACACAAAGTATACAACAATGTATAAAAAGACCAAGAGCCAAACCCAGGTAATTCTCAACTTGCAAGTCTTTTGAGTTATAAAAGCCTTCAGAGTAGGGCAGCTTTAAATCCCTTTAACTCATATTAAGTTAGACGTTTTTACAGGATAAAATGGATCACCACCTTTCTTTTTAGGACCATATGTATTAAGTGAAGTAATGCAGGCTTGAAGGTTCATTTGAGGGCAGAATACTTTACAATTTTCATTTTTAAAATGTGTTAATAGTGTGCTTCTCTGCCTTTTAGTTAATGGTAGAAATAACTAACAGTTTGGCTTATGACATTGAGGGAACATCTCTGATTTACCAAATAATTCTGTGTGGGTCCAGTACATTTTTTATGGTCCACGTATAACCTTTTTCTAAGATTTTTCACACTTATCCATTTATTCCCCAACTCAGGTATTCACATTTTATAGTTTGGAGGCATTGTTACTTGCCTTTTAATTTCATCTAAACCTTCAGCCTGGTGATTCCATACTAATTTTTCTAATTCTCTGTATCTGTTTATAAATAGATTAATGTGTGGCAGTAAATTAATACTTGAACAGAGATGAACAGACAACAGAAGAATGAATTGTGGTTTCCTTGACACTTCAGTTGTTTTAATTATTATGTTCCATTTTGATTAAAGTCATTGGTGGATGAAGTAAATAAAAATGTTTTTAGTGTTCCCACACACATCTGTGTGAATTTCACATTAGTGTGAATTTCTCATCTAAGATCCAGGTCCAACCAACAACATATTTGAAGTTATATTAATAACTCTGCCTGGTTAATCCAGCTATAGTGAGTGGCCTTGAGTATGGAAGGACCAGTAGAGCTGTAATTCATTTATTTCCTCCTGAGAACATTGTCTGGTTCTTTGGTCTTTAGCCTGCCTAATATTTTTAAGTGTATAAGAATAAAATAATAAAATTAACTTTTGTGGGTAGTTTATAGGATTAATCTCAATGTTACAGTCATACCTTGTGTATATACCTATATTTATGCAAATTATTATTCAGATTTTGATGTCTTTATTCCCTATATTGGTACTCAGAAAGATCATACTGCAGAATCTGGGTTTTAATCTGATAGGTTATTAGAAGAAAAGAACTTCTTCAGAAATGCACAGAAATGGTGAGATAATTAATGTGAATGTATTATCTTCCACAGTCTTAAAGTTCTTATCACTCCTTCTAAATAATGGATACTCAAATATATTAATAACTTGACCATAGGAGAGTTCAGTAGTATTATATTAACAATACTACTCTTTCCCCTTTCTTGAAATATCTAAAATATAAATTCGTTTTTTCCCTAAAATTTGTTAAATTCATTTCAATTAATTGTTAAATTCATTTCAATTAATGCTAGCGGTGTTTTTATTTAGTTTCAATGTGCCGTTCTAATAAACTTGAGGAGACTAAAAAAATGAAAAAAAATAATTGAAAAATTATATTAAAAAAAAGTTTCAAGAAATCTTATTTTAAAATAGGAGCTTGGAAACCTAGTTATAAAACTGAAGAACTGGAACTTTATTTATTAGAGTCAGGTATTGAACTGGGCACAGTGGCTCAAACCTGTAGTCATAGCTACTCAGGAGGTTGAGGCCGGAGGATCACTTAAGCCTAGGAGTTTGAGGCTGCAGTGAACTATGATGGGACCACTGCACTCCAGCCTGGTGACATAGTAAGACCCTGTCTGGTTAAAAAAAAAAAAAAAATAGAGTCAAGTACTAAATTGATCATGGTGGCTCAGGCCTGTAATCCCAGCACCTTGGGAGGCCAAGGTGGAAGGATCGCTTGAGGCCAGGAGTTGGAGATCAGCCTGGGCAACATAGCAATATTCCATCTCTGCAAAAACTTTTTAGAAATTAGCCCAGTGTGGTGACACACACCTGTAGTCTGAGCTACTGGGGAGGCTGAGGTGGGAGGATCGCTTAAGCTCAGGGGTTCGAGGTTACAGTGAGCTGTGATCTTGCCACTGCACTGCAGCCTAGGCAACAGAGGGAGACACTGTCTCTTAAAAAAAAAAAAAAAGGTAGAGTCAGATACTAATGGCAGTGGATTTTGGAGTGGAACCCTGTGGGGTTTTGGAAGGGAACGTTTGCTGAGTGGCATGAACTTTTGTGTTGGGGCCCCAAGGCCTCAACACCAAGGAGCTGTCCGCTGCCCATCCCTTACCTTCCCCAGTGTGGAGATCATGGGATGGAATTCACCCTAATGAGTGAACTCTGATCTGACTTTCACCACAGGTATTGGAATTACTGCTGGAAGCATCAGTTTCCCCACCAGGCAGTGAGCTCACTGAAGGCAGAGACTGTGTGGTGCCACTCTTGGCATGCTCAGCAACAAGCATGTGCCTGAGCAGGTGCACGATGAGCATTTGAATGAAAGAGTTAGCTGGAGTGAATGAATGTAAGAAAAATGATCACATTCATTGGCACCTTTCTGGAAGTTTAGGAAAATGTTTAAGGAAAAAGTTAAGGGAGTTCTTATTTTTTACTTTCTTCTTGTTAGCTAACCATACAATTAACGATGTGCATTTTTATTGCACACTTGGTAAAGAAGAAATGCATATCACAGGGATTCAGCTAACGAAACCTCCCCATTATCTTCTTTTACCTGTGTGGTAAGCAACCTATTTTGCATGAATATCAATTGAGGAAGTGAAAATAAATTTGAGGGGTTAGGGTCTTGAATCTGTTATTCTTTTTAATTTGCATTTTGTATTCAAAAATCCCCAAGGGGATCCTTCCAACTTAGACAACCTACTCTACTGAATAATAGAATGTCAAAGAGAAAAATAACACTGCCTTTTAGCACTAAAATCTTAACGTGAGTGTGTCTAAGTAGTAAATACTCATAGCTTCTTATTTGTTCATGCCTTGGCTTTATATAGCACTACAGAGTCCAAAACTGAGATCATTTGCATTATCTAAGTGCAGCCACCTGTTTATAGAGGCAAATATTCTTATCATTTCCCTTGACAGATGGGGAGATTTGAGACTCTGGTGATCAAGGGCTAAGAAATAGAGTTGAATTCATATCATTTAATGCAGTATCCCAAGTGTTTACCATGTGCCAGGGAGATGAACATGATGAGCTCCTCTCCCATCACATCTTCCATCTCCTGTGGATACAAAATCTCCTGCCTGTACAGGGCACAGCAAACCACCTGCCCCTGAGCAACCTCACACACTGGGTTTCCTTCAGAGCCAGATGGCAGCTTCTATGCATGTATATCTCTGAGCAGTTCAGCAGTGGGCTTCCCATGGGAGTGTTCCCTCCAGCTCCATAGTTAATTCTGGGCTGGCCCTGCCTGAGGAGCGAAGAGTTATTTTATAAAATTATTTTTTATGTATGTATAGATCCTGCAATATACACACTTTACCTAAATACATGCACATGACCACATGCATGCTTTTAGTACTTTTCTTTTGCGTTTACCTTTTCCTCTTCCTTCTTTCACATCAGCTACCATTGCCTCAAGCCATAGTATCTCCTTCTTTTTGTTCATCTGTATCAATTTCTATATATCTCCTATACAGATTGGTATAATGTTTAATAATAGTGGGATCATCTTAAACACTCTCCCACATCTTGCTTTCTCCCTGAACAGTTTCTCCAGAAATCCCTCTGGGACAGCAGACAGCTTCATTCCTTCCTTTTTAATGACTGCACAATATTTCATGGTGTGGACACATATTCAGCCATTCACCTGCTGGCAGGCATTCCCTTGTTTCCAGTTTTTGCCATTCTAAATGATGCTGTGATAAGTATCCTATGCATATGACATTTGTATTAGTGCTTTTAGCTCTACAGAAGAAATCCCCAGGAGTGGAATCTCAGATTACTCCTATTTTTAATTAATACAGAAATTACCAGATTTCTTTCCTTAAAGCTATCCCATCTTTACTAGTAATGCATGAAATGTGCCCTTCTCTCTGCTTTCCTTCTTGCTTTGGCTGTTAGACCTCTTCATTTTTGTTAGTATGATGGATGTAAAATGATATTTTGTTACTTTAATAGCATTTCCCTGAATATAAGTGATGTCTTGCATCTTTTCACAAATTTCCTGGTCATTTGAGTTTGTTCTTAGATCATTTGCCTACTAATATTTCTTGTCAGTTTTTAAGAGCTCTGTGTGTTATGGTTGTGGCTGAAGAGTCTGAAGAGACTGGCCTCAGACTCTTGCATCTTGCAAGCAAGATGATTGAATCTTCCCCTTTGCACAGGAGGGGCAGTGCAAATGAGCTCAGGGCTTGTTCAGCAGAGCTAGGCAGGTATTATGACCTGTGGCCATGCTTTAGATACTGACTCTGAACAGAAGACTGTATTGAGCCAGAATATAGCTGAGTGTGGAGGACTGAGAAGGTGAGGCAGTTCTGTACTGTGCTGCCTTCCACTGGTTAAGACCTCCAAAAGTGAAGAGCTGCCCAGGCAGAGGATGCCCCTCTGCCACCCTCAGAGGGGCAACGCTGTGCTGGCCGACATTTCTTTTGCTGCTTGTCCCTGGCTCAGGTGAGGCTTTGCACCAAGGGAAAAAGATTAAGACATCAAAATCAGTGCTTCTCATCCTTGTGCCCACCCTTACTCATAACAGATGGCATTCACCTGTGTGACATTCCTCTGGGTGTTGCAGATTTTAAAGAAACCCAGAGACAACTTTCAGGGAGGTAAAAAGTTTGACAGTGATGGGTCACCTCCAGCACTGTTAGGGGCACATCAGTAATAATGACTCTCAGACTTTGGCACAGGTAAGAGAATCTGCAGGTTATTTGGAATTTTCAACCCCAGCTCAACAAAGCATATCAGAATGCAAAGCAATAGTCTTTGATATTATAGGAAAAGTTTAAGTCTCTTTTGATTCAGAAAATCAATCATAAGAATTCATTATAGTAGTCACTCCACTTTTGTGTATGTCCAGTAATAAAAAGGGAACTCTGAGAAGATCACATTCACTGTAGAAGGAAATGGAATTCTAAAAACAGAAAAAAGTATAGGAAAAATTTTAGGTAAAGTTGGATTGAAAACATTTCTGGCTGGGTATGGTGGCTCACACCTGTAATCCTAACACTCTGGGAAGCCGAGGCTGGAGGATTGCTTGAGGTCAGGAGTTTGAGACCAGCCTGAGCAAAAGTGAGACTCCATCTCTACCAAAAATAGAAAAAAATTAGCTCGTCATGGTGGCATATACCTGTAGTCCCAGCTACTCAGGAGGCTGAGGCAGAAGGATTACTTGAGCCCAGGAGTTTGAGGTTGCTGTGAGCTGAGATGACACCACTGTACTCTAGCCAGGACTACAGAGTGAGATTGTGTCTGAAAAAAACAAAAATGTTTTCTAAGACTAAAATCTCATTCTGTTTACTAACTATAATGTTACATAACCAAAATATTTACTAATCATAAAAATGTTCCTCTTGAAGGTGGTTTGTAACTCCTCATCTCACCTATCTCTACTTTTGGGACTTTAGCAACTTGATAAATCTCTTAAGGGGAAATGTAGCTTTTAATTTGTAAAGACTTTTTAAACTAATTAATCATAGTGAATACCCATTCTGATACATGCCTATGTGTCAGAAGACATGTAAATAGACCTTTTTTATTAGAAGAGGCAAGGTACTTGTCTTTTTGGGTGATTCTGGTAGATTTGTTATTTTTTAAAATGAAAAATATGTTAAATGTCATCCCTGATCCTGAGTGGACTTGCTTGGTGTCAAAAAGATTAGGTTTAGAAAATTACAGTACAGTTATAACAAGACTATTAACAATTGAATTAAATGCTTACACCAAATGCTAGTGTTGTTATAGCAGCTTATTTTTCCTGTTCTCATCATTGTCTTGAGTCATTCCTAGTTGTTTTCAACAAGACAGATTCTGGAACTTTATCATTTTCACTTTTGCAGGTTCAAAACCTGACAGTACACACAGACATTGGCTATCTCACTGTGCCTGGTCTTGGCCTTGATTTTTGTCCCTGAGATAAGTTCTCAGAAGAGCTCAAGGAGTCTGTCTTGTGTTCTCTTCTTGTTTTTCACTTTGAAAGCAAATTTGTCTAGAATCACACATTGGGTCTTTTGTGAACTTATTTCCTGAAGAATAAACTTCACCTTTTGTTACACTCCTTGTTTTGGGATAGATTATTGCAGTAGTGAGTTGTTTTCCTAATAGAAAAGACTGCAATGATAGTCATCTTATTATGGTTTAGGTGCCTTTAACAAAGGGATATTATGTTAGGGAAAAAAACACCATTTGTTTTATTTATTTTTCTTCCTTAGTTAAAAGTATCGAGCAAGCTTCATATCTTGCAAATATGTAGAGGGGGATATTGAGTTCAGATGAGCAATAAAGCTAATTTTATTTGTTTTATGCCTCAGGTATCTATAAAGGGGCCAGGAAAAAACCAGAACACCAGAGAGACTTGGCACTAGTAGTATTTATAGTATCTATCTTTAAGGCTGTTTGAATGAATTTCTTTTACTCTGCTGCCTGTCCTCTGAATTTTCTCCTAGCTTGGTGGATGATCCGTCAGACCTCAGGAGTCATGCTGCATGGTTTCTGCTCCTGGCACTTGGGTTGGTTGGAAACCCTGAGGCAATGACAGGGACCCCCAAGGTCCTTGGGACATGCCCAACATCTAATTTAAAGGTAAAAGTTTAGTATGCTGCTTTGTCTATTGCTGTTTCCTAAATGTGCATATTTCTAAAACATTTTAATGGCTTTCAGTACAGCCAATTTTCTCATAAGTAGATTGTTTTTTATATTGATAAAAACAGAGATATTTTATCTTTAATAAAGTATAGTCATTGAAAGCTTTTTAAAAGGCTGTTTACCACAGGCCCTTCTGCTCCTAAAGTTTTTAAGAAACAAAGTTTGCATTCTCAAAGCTTTATTTCTGCTCGTTTTGAAAGTGTGCTCTGCAACACTCAGAGAAGACTACAGAGCGAGCCTCGCTCCTACTCTGAAGGGAAGACAGTAACTTTTTTTTTTTTTTACAAGAAAGCAAAGGAGGCTAGTTAAAACGATTATATAGATACAGCACTTATTTAGCTAGTTCTTTTTGTTCCAGAAGCTTGGGGTCCCACTAATAGTATGAATACTTGTTAGCCTGGGAGCCACCTGATTTTGAAGAGAATTCCTAGTGTAGGAAGGGTTAGACATTTTTCCCTTTTTTTTTCCCTTTTTTTTCAATACTGAATAATAAGAAGGAAACCAAGACATCTACCCAAACTAACTGTAGGATTTTTATCGGTAATAAAATCGAGGGAGGCATGGTTTCTTCCTAGGCTCACTGCAGCCCCGGGAGGAGTGTGGAGGAACTGTGATCATCATCTCGCCCTTCTCCCCGCGGGTACGCAGGCGCTGCAGCATGCGGAGTGAAGAGCTGGCGGGGACCATGGAGGAGAGCCGCGGGCCGAGTCCGGGGCTGGCGCCGGCGCCTCCCGGCCGCCTGGGGGCGCCGTACTCCGAGGCCTGGGGGTACTTCCATCTGGCGCCCGCGCGCCCGGGACACGCGTCGGGCCACTGGGCCACGTGCCGCCTGTGCGGGCAGCAGGTGGGCCGCGGCCCGGGCTTCCACGCAGGGACCTCGGCGCTGTGGCGGCACCTGAGGAGCGCGCACCGGCGGGAGCTGGAGGGGAGCGCTGCCCGCTGCTCGCCGCCCGCCGCGCCCTGCCCGCCGCCCTGCCCCGCCGAGGGCGACTGGGCGCGCCTGCTGGAGCAGATGGGCGCGCTGGCCGTGCGCGGCAGCCGGCGCGAGCGGGAGCTGGAGCGGCGCGAGGCGGCCGTGGAGCAGGGCGAGCGCGCCCTGGAGCGGCGGCGGCGGGCGCTGCGGGAGGAGGAGCGCGCCGTGGCCCAGGCGCGCCGCGAGCTGCAGGCCGAGCGCGAGGCCCTACAGGCGCGGCTGTGGGAGCTGAGCCTCCGGGAGGGCGCAATGGGCTGGGCCGCTGCCTCGCCGCCCGCGCCCCTCAAAGAGGAGCCCGAGGGCGACAGGGACGGCTGCGTCATCACGAAGGTCCTCCTGTAGGGGTTTGGCTATTCCGCCACCCCACGCCTGAGCTCCGAGTGTGGGCCGCGAGGCCCAGGCACCTCTCAGCCTCCCCTGGCTGGCGCAGTATCCAGGCCCGCGGCCCTCTGCTGACTCGGAAGCTCCAAATGCGGGCCCGCCCGCCACCGACGCTGACCTTCAGTGCGAGATGCACTTTGGAAGCCAGAGCAGAGTCAAAAACCCCGTCCTCAGGGGGATTTTTGGTACCTGGGTGGCCTTTCGTGGGCAGGTGTGCAAGGGATGTGGTGGCACACGGGGGAAACCTGAGTGCTCCAGCAGTCCCATGACCGCAGATCACCCCGTGCCAAGGCCACTTAGGGCTGGGAACCTGAGCCTGGCGATTTTGAAAGGACAGAAGCTTCTTTCTACACCTAAGGCTTATCACCCCATGTGCCTATACACCAGGCGGCCCAAGGTGGAGGGTGCATGGCAGTGAGGATAAAGCTGTTTACCCAAAGGAGTCTCACTCATTTCCTAATGCATAATCTGCCCAGCACCACGTTCCGAAAAGGGGACCTTTAGTTTCTGTAACTGCTTTTTACCCCTCATCGCTAGAGCTTCGTGGGCAGTCCCGCAGAGCCCCGCGTTTTACTCCCCTCCTCCCACACTGCCCAGCCAATAGCCGGAGCCTGTCTTAGGCAGCCGTCTTACCTTCAGTTCAGACCCAGTGGCAGGTGTGGTACCTTTCTCCTCTTTCAGTCGTTCCATCTGCTTGCTTGCCAGCAAGACATCATCGCCTCAACCCCTAGTCACTGGGAAGGGTGGTTCCTTCCCCACCACGTCTTCACAGTGCTCACTTCTGGGCCAAAGGAGAAAGCATCCCTCCCACCTAAGGCCACATCTTCCTGTCATGTCTAAATCCATTCCTCTTCCTCATTTACTGGGTCTTTGCTGCGTTAGTATTGCTCGCTCTGTCTCATTCCCTCCCTTTCCCCAGGCTCTTCTCCCTGAGCAGTGCCCAAGTCTCCCTTGTACTGAAAAGAAAGATTCAGCCCAAAAAGGTCAGGTAGTCTTTGCTGCCTACACTTCCCAGTTTTGACTCCTTCACTCCTGGTCAGCTTTCCATGCTACATCGGAAACCTTTGAAGCCACCACAATTTCCTAATGACCAAATATGATGATTTTTTTTTTCAGCCTTCATTTTGCTTGATCTTTCCCTTGAAATTCCTTTCTTGGGAAGTGGACCGTGCTTTTACTTCAAAGAATTCTGTTTCCTGATGTATACTAGTTCCCAGCTTTTCCTCCGTCCTCTTTGTTTCTCATTTTTTAAAATATCGATAAATTCCAAGTATCCAGAAAAAGTTGAAAGGCTAGTACAATGAATACCCAGATACATACCCTCTACCCAGATTGAACAACTTAAGGCTTTGCGATATTTACTTTTCCTTCACCCCCATGCATAGGTGTATATAATGACATTTCACCCTTAAGTATTTTAGCATATATTTCCTAAGAACAAAGACATTGTTCTACATGATTATAGTATGATTATCAGACCTGGGAATATAATCAAAAGCCTTTAATATAGCATCCTTAATCAAAATTCACTAATTGTCTCAAGAACATCATTTTGTCTTTTTTTTTTTTTTAAACCAAGCCCATTCAAGGTTCATAAAGTACTTTTGGTTATGACTCTTCAGTCTCTTTTAGTCTAGAACAACCCCTTTATATTTTTCCCCCCATGATACTTACTTTTTGAAGTATCCAGGCCAGCTGTCTTATCGAATGTCCTATATTCTGGATTCGTCCGATTGTTTCTTTGGGCCAATTTCTACACTCTTGTCTCATCTCCCTATAGAGCTATGGTAATTTTTTCTGTGCCAGGGAATCCTGAATATCTCTAGCCTTGAGTGTTCTCCCTGGTTCTGGATCTTCATGTCCAAACCCCTGCTGCATGTCTCCACCCCTATTTTCAAATATCCTGCCTCTGAAATGGAAGGGACAACTCTATTCAACCCTGCATCCTACCTCTCACCTGGTAACGTTCACTGGGCTCTCACAATATATTAGGTACATACCACACACTTTGCAGGTATTCTCTCACTTTACTCTCACAGCAGGTCCGTGGTAATACTGTTCCTGCTTTGCAGCTAAGGAAACTAAGCTAGAGAGGGATTAAGTAGCCTGTGTGAAATCACAGCTGGGGACTAGTAGAGGTAGGATCCAGATGCAGTCAGTCTACCCCTGATGACCTAGCTACTGTGCTGCTTCTGGAAAACTCTGCTTCCCTTATTACGGAGGCACCTCACCTGTTTCCTTCTTAACTCCAGCTGAGCAATTCCAGCTAGTGGAATTAACTGCAATTAGTAACATTAGCATTTACTGTGTTCACTATATGTCAGAGCTGTGCTAAATGCTTTATAAGAATAATTACCTGCCACACAGCACAACCTCGTGACTTAGGTGCTGTGTCCACTTTGTAGATGAGACAGGTTCAGGGAGTTAAGAAATATCTTCAGAGACACAGCTGCACAGAGGCAGAGTGGGATTTGAATTCCAGTCTCACTAAATCCTAGGCACCTGCTCTGCTAAGCCTGTTGCTACAAAATACTGTACCTGCCTGCCTTCTGATGCCACCTACCAAGCTCAAGCCCCATTTATTATTTATCTGCGATTCATCTTCCCATCCTTATATCCCCTACCTGACACACAGCTTGTCTAAAGACAAGGAATTGTCCTGAGCCAGCTCTGATTACTTGTATCATTTTTCCTGCTCAAAAACCCCCAAGGTCACCTATCACCTATTTACTATAGTGCAAGCTTTGACTTTGTGGCCCAAAATTCAAGTTCCTCCCCCTCCCCAGCGCCAGTCTTGATGGCCTCTGCCCTACATACACTGTATGCCCCAGCCATATTGGACTCTTCTTCCTGACATGGTCTGGTGTTAGCATTTATGTGCCTCTTAAAAAAGCCCCTTTAATCTCCTTGAGTACAAAAATTCCTACCCATTTTCTAAGAGCATGAAGCTTTCCTTGATTTCTCATTTCAAGGCATTTCCTTACTTCTCCGGACTCCTAGCGTTTTGTATCTCAAAACCCTCGAAGCAGGCCATCTAGCATATGGCTGTGTGGGTTTCTGTCTTATTTCCTGGTCAGACCCTGAGCCCTGGGAGGGTAACTGATTCATCCTCCCTGCCACAGTGCCTTGCATACAATAGGTGCTCAATAAATATTTGATGCAATGAACCCATTCAATGTGTTTAAGATTTTTACAAGTTTTTTCTGTAATTATATGATTCATTAATCTTTAATTCTCTGAGTGAAATTCATAACAAAAGCCTACAGAGAAATAACGAATACTTTTTTTAACTGTTTCATCAATAAAGATTTAATAAGGTTCAGTTTGGAGCTGTTCAGCCATTGTAGCATATAAAACTTTTTTTTTAAAATACAAGTAACACAAATGTATTGCCCCAATCTAGGAAGAAGAGCAGGAAAAAAAAGCCAGCACTATGTAGCACACTATATGTGCTACATAGCTCTGGCTTTTGTAGCACATATAAAATTGGAACGACACAGAGAAGATTATTAGCATGGCCCCAGCGCAAGGATAACACGCAAATTTGTGAAGTGTTTCATATTATTTTATCAAAAAGACGCTTGCCCTAGAGTGTTTATTGCAGCACAAGTCACAATCACAATGATGTGGAATCGTCCCAAGTGCCCATCAATTCATGAGTGAATTAAGAAAATAAAACGTGATTTATGTACACCATGGAGTACTACTCAGCCATAAAAAATGAATTAATACCTTTTGCAACAATCTGGATGTAGCTAGAGACCATCCTCCTAAGTGAAACATTGCAAGAATGGAAAAACAAACATCACACGTACTCACTATTAAATTGGAACTTAGCAACCAGCACTCATGTGCGCAGACGGAAGTAAAACTCAAACAGAAATCACGCAGGTGGGAGCGGGGTAGAGGGGATGGGTGAAATCATACCTAACGAGTACAGTGTACACTATCTGTGTGATGGGAACACTAATAACTTTGACTTAAGCAGTACAGAAGCAATCCATGTAACCAAAACATTTGTGCCCTGTAATAGTCTGGAATAAATAAAAAATTTAAAAAGAAAAAATAAATTCATAAAAACATTTTATTGTATTTTCTTTTGTCTTTTGCAGTTTTCATATTACTGTAATAATAAGTGATGTCTTCAGAGACATAACCTGTGAAGAAGCAGAGTGAGATTTGAACTCCATTCTTATTAAGTATTGACATTTAAAGTCTTTATGTGGATTTGTAAGTTGGGCTAAAAGATCTGAATTTGGACTTTTTAGAAGGAAGAAAAGACTACTATGAATGTTACTATTCTACTTCACCAATTGCTAGAACCATTAAAATAAAGCAAAGACTTAGAGTCTTACTTAACCACTCTCAAGAAGGATGGCTTATGGGAGCCTGAGGCCAGTGCAGGGGACAGGAGGGGACAATTAGCCTGAGTGCTGACTGAGTGCCGGTCGTGGGAGTTAGGGGAAGAGGTTTCACCTTCTGCTTTATACACTTCTGCACTGTTGTAATTTTTTATACTAAACATGAATTATTTTTATAATAAAAAATAAAATTATCTTCCTTTTGCAAACGATCCTCTGTCAGCATTCAGCTTCTTTAGTTAAATAAATTAAAACTTCCAACATAAGCATGGATATAATCCCCACTTCCAGAAAAGCCTAGAAAGAAATGTAGCCGTTGTCCAATCCAAGGCCGTTATTTGACAGATGAGGAGTCTTAAAGTGACTTGTCCACTCTCAGGAGACAGTGGCTGTGGCGAGCCACCCGACGCCAGCCTTCTCAACAGATATACTGCCTTTTTGGCCTTGAGGGCTCCTGCTTGCTCACCTGGCAACGCACAAAGACCATCAGCATCCTCATGTCAGCTAAGAGGCATGATTTGAGAGTGCAGAAGTGGGTTCAGGCGATTGAATTGGCCTCTCACAGAGAGCTGCCACTGCTAATTGGTGAGCATGACACACCTTGCCTATTATCAGCAGGGTTTCCCTGATTTAAGGGACTGGGCTTGCTGACAGCCACCCCATGCTGCCTTTGAGAGCCGTGCATGCAATGGTGAGGTGGATGGCTGGAACTGGGATGCAGACTGTAACCCTGCAACTCAACTCCTTAATGACTGCTATGATATAAAGTGACTGTCCACTTCCTGAGGTTGAAATTTGGCAGGAAGGGAGTGGTTAAAGCAGGGTAATGACAACCACACTTGAAATGCCCAGGGCCCTTCAAGCACCTAAGCTGTCATTTTGGAGGCTGGAGAGGAGTGTGGTATGGTGTGGGCTGAGTTTCCACTTTAAATAGTTTTCCGTGTCCTTAACCTCTCAGAAAGGATTCATAAACTGAGTCTTCTGTTTTGCTGCCATGGACTCATTCATGAAGTCTATATCTAAAGATTTGACCTTCTTACCTTTCAACAATCTGAATCTGCTTCTTTGCCTGTAAAAATGGATAAGGTGATCATTAAGACCCCTTTTGGCTCCAATATGCTATGATTACATGAAATATAGTAAAACATCAATCAACATTTTAGTTGCTAACCTTGGATTTTCTTGTTTACTGCAGATTTAGAAGAAAATGTTGAATGTCACATACATGTACTTACTATGAAAAATAATGGCAGTATATCGAATAAGAAACTCGATATACCACTTAATACAACAGTATTAAGGTCCTAATTCTATCAGATTCACTACCTAGAACTGCAAATGTGTGCAGCAGTAAGCAGCACGCCCCTGTACGATATTTCTTTCTGCCCTCATAACGCCCAGCAGGCAGGGTATGTAGAAATCCATGTTTTACAAATGAGGCCCCAGACTTCAAAAAGGTTGAGTGCCCTGCAGAAGGCCGCACAGCTGGTGAGTAGCAGACTGGAGCTAGAGCCCAATCCATGGATCCCTTCACATCTGTGGCCAAACGGCTGTGCTTCCTTGAAGGCCTCTCTCCCAGCCACCTCTTCAGCATCCCTCAGGCCTCTGGATCTTGGCCTGAGTGCTCTGCTAACACTTGGGTTGATGATGGTTACTTCCCACTACAAGCTCTGGTGTTGGGGACAGGCCAGCCAGCTTTCCCGGTAGCGAAGTTGGCTTTAAGAGTTTCCTGCTGCTGCTATACCAGATTGCCACAAACTTAGTAACGTAAAACAACACAAATGTATCTTATAGTTTGGCAGTCAGGAGTCCGAAAGGGATCTCAAAAGTGTTGGCAGCTGTGTTCCTGCCTGGGGGGCTCCAGGAGAGAATCTGGTTCTGCCTTTTCCAGCTTCTAGGGACTGTCCACGCTCCTTGGCTTGTGTCCCCCTTGCAAGGGGCCAGGCGTGTCTTTCTCACATTTCATTACTCTGCCTCCCTCTTCCACACTGAAAGGTCCCTCTCTTTAGATTAAGGTTACCTAGTTAGCAACCTAATTCTATCTACAGCTTTAATTCCCCCCTCCCCAACCCCACCATGTAACACTGACAGGTTCTGGGTTTTGGCAGGTCTGGGGGGTATGAGAAAGGGACCTGCTTGATGGGAGAACCCTCTTCCCCAGAAATGAACACCTCAGTAGGGGTTCACCTGTCTCTGCCCAGTGCAAGGAGTGCTCACAGACTTTTCTGGGACAGATTCCTGGAAGATGGGTGGGTGTCAGAGATGCCTGTGAAGGAAAATCAGAGGCCTCCACAGATCTGAGAATGTGTGTGCTAAGATCTGTTTGACTAGGAAGGCTGCATGGTGGTGTGTGAGGAGTTAGCTTACCAAGCCTTTGGAGTCAGATATGAATTAAAGTTCCCAACCACTTATGTTGTCACCTTGGCAACCACCCTAACCTTCCTGAAACCCAGTTTATTCATCTGTAAAATGGGGATAATATATGCCTTACAAGCAGCAGTCCTTTTTGGCACCAAAGACCAGTTTCATGCAAGACAATTTTCCCACAGTGGGGTGGGTTGGAGGAGCTCAGGCAGTCAGTCATGCACGTGATGGGGAGCGGCTGTAAATATGCTCGCTCCACCGCCACTCACCACCTGCCGTGCAGCCCCACCCCCCATTCCTAAGTTTCATGGAAGACAATTTTTACAGGGGCGTTGGGGATACGGCAGAGTTCTGCAGCCAGGTCCCTAACATGCCATGGACCTGGGGGGTTGGGGCCAAGCCTTACAGGGTTGCCGTAAGGAGGAAGATATTTAGGGAAATTCGGACATATAGTTTGAACTCAGTAACTATGACTTGTTTCTCTTATCTGAATGGGAGCTGAAAACCGATCCTCAGAAAGCGCAGGTTCCTTGGGAGAATTCCTGAGAGCAGCTACATGTAAGCCAGAAAGATTTGCCAAGTCACTCTCCTTCACTATAGAACTATTTTTCTATCAAAACATAAATTTCACACTTTATTTGCCAAATGAGCTGTTTGAGTCAAGAATCAATATGACTTGTGACTACACAGTCATCTGATGACTCTCACAGTGAATATATAAAAACCTATCCATGTAAGTGGTTTTTTTCATCAAAGCAGTCACCTTGTACGTCTACAGTTATTCCAAAAATGCTTAAAACAGTGCTGGAAGTCCTCTGTGGCCATTGATATCTCTAGCACATTCTTTAAAATGTCTTTAAGTTGGCAAATATTCATCTTTCCAGGATAAATTTGGTTTTTAAAAAGAGCTGCCAATTACTCAGAGGCCAGACTGGTGAATATGGTAGATGATTAACCAGATTAACATTTCCAGTTAATAAGGTGAGCTTATAATAAAACAATGATAATTATTTTAATGTGACTCATAAATTGGTCTTGATAGTGTTGTATATTAAGGTTAAGTAAAGGCAGTATGGTCATGGTAGAGATTAAAGCCCATTTTAGTTGGTTTATGATGTGAATGAATTCAGGTAGCACTGGGAGTCATTATATATTTAAAAAGTACTAAATGTTTCTTTTTATGAAAATCCTAATTATGACATTCTCTGAAATCTGATTTCATAGTATTAAAATGAGGCTTTAAGGAAAAACATTAAATGATAATGAAAGCTTTATTCTTTCAGTATATATTCTCATGGGCTTTTGGTCAAGATAAGTAATGATCAGATGAATGAGTTGGCAACCTTCCTGCCCTCTGAAGTCTACTAGTAATTGGAAGCTAAGTAAAACCTTGTCAAATGTTTAAATACATTTAATAATATTCCACCAGCTTCTCCCTAACTAGCTTCTGTGTCTTGGGCAATGAAATACCACGGTATTTTAACAATGATGAAGAATTTCCAAAAAGCCATTCTTACTCGGACGGCAGAGACATTGTTTACCTTCCTTCATGTTAACTTTCCCAACTCTGCCTGCTCTTCATCCTCCAGGGACTTTTTGATTTGCATTTTCTCCATCAACTCCCGTTTCCAATGACCTGGTTCATGTTGCTTTTTTTCCCCCTGTACAGTCATGCACCACATAACAATGTTTCAGTCTATGACAGACTGGATATACAACAGTGGTCCCATGAGATTATTTCATATTTGGACTGTACCTTTTCTATGTTTAGACACAGACTTACCATTGTGTTACACTGTGAATTGCCTGTTCAGTGCAAACATGCTGAATTGCCTATTCAGTACAAACATGCTGTACAGGTTTGTAGCCTAGGAGCTACAGGTATACCATATAGCCTAGGTG